CGGACGACCGAATCTCACGCCTCTTGCAGGAGGCATGGCACTCACACGCGGATTAAATTAACAGGCATATCGACCTCCCTGATGCCTATCTCGCGTTCCGCGAACAAATCGATAGCAAAGCTCAAGATCATTCCCGGTGGATTTGAGTTAAATACATGGTGAGCTGTACATTTTTATTCTTTGACAATGAGCTCGCGTGGGAGTTCGAAACGTCGGGCAAATAAAATACTGGTCCCAGAGAGCGTTTTCTCGCCTTCTTTTTATTTATATGAATATATGGACATCACCGATCTGGCAGTTCCATTTCGCCCTGGAGCTCACAATTAAAGCCTGCGCAGGCAGTCACATAACGACCAGTGGGATAGGATGGGATTAGTATAATTGTAATCTCAATGACCAAAGGTCCCGGGAGCTAATAAGCCAGAAGTGGACATTCCGGTCTGCTTTTGCTTTGTACGACCCATTCAAATTATTTATATAACCAAACATTTGCGCATGAAAATTAAAATGAAAAATTAGAATGATAGGAAACAAGATCCGCGCAAAAGTACTTGCACATAGGTTACAAATTGATATCGACTCTGTATCTAAATTTAGAGACTAAGATAAAAGCATCAGAGATAGGCAATTTTTTAAACTCAATATTTTTCGTGCGTTTGGACAGATATTATAGTACGATAAGCCGATAGGCAACCGTATGTTGCGTAAAAAACTAAAGTGACTTGAAAATTATGCTAATAAGCTAAACAATAAACTAATATAACGAAAAGTAGCCACAGGAAGCTGAAGATTTCCAAGTTTTGGAGTAAACTTATAAGCATGGCTACTTAATTGCAAAGAGTAGCTATATAAATACGTAAAAGACGTTGACATACGAGATAATCACCGATTAGACATAATGACTTACCGTGAATACGGGCGAAGCTTTTTACGATGATTGCGCGTCCACCCAGATGCCTCGGCTCGAGGGCAGCGTGTTCGCGACTACTGCCCTCGCCGTAGTTCTCGTCACCAATAGCAACCCAAGGCACACCGGCCGCTTTGTACTTGCGTGCAACCGAGGGCACAGTGTCCCACTTCCCCGAAGGACGATGTAGAACCTTGTTAGCCTGATCGTTCTCGCAATTGATGGCCCTGCGGTTGGGAGCAAGTTGGAGCATGAAACCAGGGACGCAAATAAAAGACTTTAAGGCGAATTTCGAAGGTGGTTTGCAGAAGACTCACCCGATGAAGAGGTTGTTTGAGATGTTATCTATATGACCTCGATACTTGAGCCAGGGACCAGCCGCAGATATGTGATCAGTAGTACATTTGCCCTTGATTTTTATCAAAATGGGCATATCAACCAGGTCAGCGCCGTCCCACTTGTCGAAGGGCTGTAACAGTTGGAGTCTGTCACTGCCGGGGTTGACGTAGACGGAGACGCCGGAACTGTCAACTGGAGGGGCTTGGTAGACAACGGCACCCTCGTCAAAACCACGAGAGGGGAGGGTGGAGCCTTAAATACACAAACAAGGTTGAGGGGAAGGGTGATGATTTGTGCCGATTATTGCAGCAAGGCCGCAAATATTCAAAAAAAATCGCGCGCGCTATCAGGCACTTTTGGGGTTGAGTGGTGCGAAATACACATCACAGAAGAAAACATGTCAAAATGGTTATCCTGCGGAGTGCCGCAAGATACGTCTCGAAGAACACAGATGCGTATGTTATTGAAGAAAGGGAAGGCTGCAACGTAAGTGCTATTTGGAAGACAAACTTACAATACAGTGCCTCTTTGTGGTCATTTAAAAGCAGCCTAGTAAACAAAAAAATTTGACGACTTCATACGTCTTGCCTGTATTCCGGTAAGTAAACTTCTTAGGCGCAAATAAACTTGCTTAAGCTAAAAGTAAAGCTCGCAAGAATACTGACAGTTGGAATGCAAGTTCAGCCTACAGGAACTGCAACAACAAACAGTCGGACCGTTGTGACCGTGCCAAGAGCAGACAGATCTGACCCTCCAGGCGGATGCTACAAACAAGGTTGAGGGAATGGGTGATGATTTGTGCCGATTATTGCAGCAAGGCCGCAAATATTTAAAAAAAACGCGCGTCATCAAGTACTTTCTTTGACATGTTAGGGTGATTCTTAACCCATTACCTCCCATAATTTTAACCACTTTGATTTTTTTTTATTAAACTTGGATACCTATGGTAAAATAGCGTGATATATAAATGAATTTAGAGCGACTTTTTTTAAAAAATCTCATGTGGATATCAGAGAAATATACCTAACTAGCGCGGAAGCCCGGCTTCGCCTTGGCTTCCTTACCGTTGTGCTCCTTTTATGAAGGAAAAAGTAAGTGTCCTCTGCAGTAAAACCTTTTGAAACAATTAATACGTACGAGGGATAGGCAACCAGGAATGAAGAACGGTATGGAAAGACGGAGAACTGTAATTGTGGCACCGGATGGAGTGACGTACATAACCATTAAAGGAAAACGCGGTAGATGTCAAAGGGAACAGTAAGGAGGACACACGTAAAAGTAATAATGGGAAAGACGAAGTTAGGGTAAAAGGGCTAGGGAGAAACAAAAAAGAGCCGAATTTTGAATGACTAAAGAATTACAGGAGGGACGGTTATAAGTGGGGTATTAATAGGAACCGTAAGGAAGGCGGAAGATATAACCGTCA